AGGTATATCACCATAGTCGTGTAAAGTCGTTAGGATCATTTCGTTTCCACGGGGGAACCGCAGACCCGGAAGTCGGTGGAATCGCGGTTCTCTGTCCTTGATCGCGTGGAGGTGGGATGCAGGAGGTTGGAAAGGGACGACGGGGGAAATGGAGCAGGGTCCGATCACGATGGGGGTGCGATAAGTCATCTTAACGACTGGAGACTTGTTGCGTGAGCAGACACTGGAGGAACCGTGGAAACGCCACGTGTCGTTTCGATTTTTATTTATGACGGTGCGTGAGCCACGCCGCGAGGAACACCGATATTTATACAAATCACGATAAAGCGTGGCGGCGGGAGCTGTATTAACAGAAACGATCGATTTATGTGATTAATCGTGCACGCGTACCCGTTTTAGATACGTGACGGTGTAGAGAGGTTTCAAAATTAAACGAGCCAACGGACGTTCGATACTTGTGGGTAAACTGGGTTGAATTCGATACGAGCGCCGCCATTTTGGTCGTATGTTCTCGGCTTTGTAGACGGCGAATAAAATGTACGGTTATTGATGCTTATACTTGTTGTATGTGGGTACTTCGTGTCACTTTATGGTATGTATTTATTTGTATTCATTAAATATTATCAATATTTATGTATTATAAGTATATATATGTATATGTATGTATTATAAATATGTATAAAAATAGTTGAATTGAAGTTAACCCTTGGTTACAGACGTAATATGGATATCGTGTATTTAGTGTGTCACTTACAGCCAGTTCAGACGATACGGTCTTTTGACAACAAATTACAAACAAATGGAGCAAGCATATGCGTCGGAGCTAGATTTTCGAAAAAGATACGGAACTGTATGAACGCTGCTATATTATCGATTTGGTAAAATTACCGAATTGGTCTAAAAACCATATTGTCTGAATCAGCTGTTATTGTTAATTGGGCCATGTTATGCAGAAAGCTACCAACTCTCAATGATCTAAAATGAAGTAAATTTAGTTCGAAGATTTTAATTTAAAAAAAAAAGTAGCATAATGTAAGAGTTATTTGTTGGGTTGGTAATTTTTGACAAACTAAAGATCACAAAATTATGGGATTCGTACTGTATTTACCTAATTTTATCTCATTTCGAGGGTTCGTAGGTTTCTGCATAACTTGGCTCAATTAAAAGTACAAAACGATAGAGCTTCCAAAATTCTTTGCTAGGCTGCGATAGTGAAATGAAAATTCAGGCTCGTCTCTGAAATGGGTCGTTTGTAGTTAAAGGGTAACCACAATTATTAGATGGTCCTGTATAATTGCCTTAGCTGATACACTACTTTTATTTTCTAAAATAAAAACTGTTCCTAAAATAACCGTTCAACGATCAAAACGATATTAAATAATGTTTAACTGACAAAAGGTTAAGTTTCGACAAGTGTTAGCACCAGTTCTTCACTTTTTTTGTGCTACTATCTGATGGTGATCCTCGAACAAAGTGTTCGAAAGTTTAAATAATAAATTTTATCTAATCCTACATTCTGTTTAAAACTTTTTTTTTATTTCTAAACCTACACAGAAAAAGTTCAGGATCGCGAAGTTGCACGGGCGTTCGTGTAAAATCACTTGCTGCCACGATCCAGCGCGCGAGTACGCGGGTTACGGCCGGCTTAAAAGATAAAAGAAACGGAAAGCCCATTTTCAGAACAAACGAGCCCCGTCGTCCGGAACGTAACGGTCGAGCGCGATATCGCCCGGGAATTAGTTGCAGCGAACTGGCAAGGGCTTAAAAGACATCGGAACCGAATCATCTTTCCGTCCCGTTCCGGGGTCTCCTTTCAGCAAACATCAGATAACTCATTCGCGCGCGCGCGCACACGGTGAAACTTCACTTTCGCCCCCGAGCGCGGAGAGTTTCTCGTTCACAAAAGGCCGAACCTGCTACGATATCCGATGGACGTCGTCGATTTTCGTCGGAAGGAAGCTTTGTCGTCTGCTTCGTCGGATTCGCCTGTCGTCGTCCACTTTCCCCCTCCCCAACCCCTGTTCCCAATCCTCCCTGGTTCCTCTTCGCGTCGCTACGAACCGCGCGCTGAACTCTCGATACCCTATCTTTCCCGGTCATTGTATGCAAATCTATTCCATTCGTGGAATCGAGCTGGTCTTTTTCTGATGTCTAGCCTGATAGCCGCGAGAACGATCGTCTTCGCCGGTATATCTGGACGTTTCACTGTCGTGGGGTTTCCTCTATAAACGACGCGGCATGTTGCGGGATGGGGGGCGTGTGTTCCCTCCTCCCGGCTCGCGAAGGAAACCGGGACACATTCGGGTACGGACCTACGCTATGAATTTTATGGACGGGACAGCCATTTGGACTGGACTGCTCTCTCTGTGGATGCACTCCGTTTCAGGTTTGTATCACGACCTACGTTACCTTTCTTTGCCCGGCCCCGACAGAATAGATTCGATTCCCCGTTGCCGTCGTGTACCCGATCCAGCCATTGGCGGATTTTGCGGTCGATCTCCCGTATTGAACGAAAAATGTGACTATTAAGGACGTTGTATACGCGTTCTTGGTTTTAATAGCTGATTCGGAAAGATTTACATGGTTCTGGGCCCAGGAAGAATTTTATGGCTTGCACGTGAGGCGAGTCGTAATGGTGGACTCTGGACATTGTGGGTTCCTGCATTTCCTGCATAGTACTGTACGTTGTGGAATTAGCTTTATCAGAGCACAATATAATTTATAAACGCACTGATGAATGAACAGTTAAGGGGTCATGCTCAGAAATAAATTTTCACAAAATCGATTTTTCACTTTCTACATTTTCTTTAAGTACAACATCTCGGGAATAGTCTGTGCAAGTTTCAAGGTAATCCAATTAAAAATGATAGAGTTACAGGCGTTAAAAAATGAACATTTTATATAAGTGTAAGCTTGACTTGAAACTTTAAACGCAATTTTCTCGAAACTACATTTTTCAAATCGGTGATCAATATTTCTCGAAAACTACTGTGTCGAATTACATAAAGACTTTTGCGCCTTATTTCAAATCAGAAAAACTTGTCCTTGAACGAAGGATTCTTTTTTCGTTCCACACTTTTTTTTTAATTGACCAAAAACGAGTGATTTTTATTGAAGTGTAGTGAATTTAACTATTTTGTTCCTAATCAATATTTCGAAAAACCCCACGTTCAAGGACAAGATTGGTTCTTTCATTACATAAATCTTACTGAATTTTTAATTTCAAATGAACCGTTACGAAATTACAGTGATCACGGCAGATCACTTTTTGTGAAGATACATCCGGGAGATCGGTCACCATTTATTTACTAATAAATATTTTTAAATAAAAAAATTACCTCATAATCTAGAAACTGGAATCTTTGAAACACAAACACATTTTTTGATAAAGGTCTTACAGTTTTTGAGAAAAAAATTCCTAAAGAACACTCTTTTTTCGATCTCCTGATTGAGCATGACCCCTTAAGAGATTTTGTAACTATTGAAGTCGAATTTTGAATAATAATATTAACTCGCTAACTGCATTTGTTTACTACAGTGGAAGCCTACTTTTTCACTCTTCATCTCTATCATCTCTTCAAGAGTTTAGTATTACAAGAATAACACAGAAAGTTTATTAGATCTGATGTTAACTTGACCATTTATCATATTTCACATAGTTGTATACGCTATAAATGCATATAATCCGCAGTTTAGTGATAATATTTGGAACACTTCATGACGATCGGCAGTACAAAACTTCTTTAAATGACATCCAAGCATTAGAAAAACGGTGTTACTGTGACTACTAGTTCGTTATTTATTGTGAGCAAATACATTGTTTACAACAAAATTACTAAAAAAGGATTTTAAAAAAGGTTTTAAATAGTCTTCAAATGACTATTGGTTCTCGATAAAAGATGCAGAAAACGGGTTAATAAATATTTAGCACATGGATATTACATTTTTTAATATATATACCTTTTTATAATAGGTATATAGATTTTAGTACAGATTTCAAAGATGAATGAACAATGTTAAGTAAATAAACATTTCTAGCCAATGCCGCGAAAAATTGTTTAAATATGAAATAAATAATTGAAAAAAATCAATATTTAATCACTTTCCTATTTTAATAATAATTTAATGTACTCGGTTATATATATATAATCTTCATTCACGGGTACGTGATCATTTATTCGTGCTGTTGTAAGGATAATGCTTCCCTGGACTTACTCTAGCTATAGAGATTTTCTTTATATGTATGTATGTATGTGGTATGGATATAAGGGGAAGGAGTATGGAACAAGAGACGGTCCTGGTGTTCTGGTATGTTTGAGTATGACTGCCGCGTATGTACGTATAAAGTAAGGACAGAGTTATAAGCACTATGTATATCTATAAAATTAAAGTAAATACATAGTCCATAGTATTAAAGAGTGGGAGCTTATTGATTTAAACAATAACCAACAACAGGTGCATCCACCCTATATAAGGTGATTTAAAAATGAGTAGAACAATTTAATAGTTATTATAAACAGAATACGTGATTTTGTTTGCTGATGAACGATATGAAGTATTTATACAATAACACTGGAGTATAAAACTGTGTGTGTTTCAGGTGTCATTATTGCTGTATTGTTAAGTAATCAATAAAACTGATCAACTGAATTAACTAACCGACAAATAACATAGCGGCGAACTAGCTTCTAGCTTCGAAAGGGGAAACTTAATCGAGCTACGGCGTCCGCCATCTTTGCACCCCGTTATTCCCCAACAATCGTTTCACTTTTAAACAGTCCACCCTTACCGGATCGTCGAACAAATCTTGCGTAAAATCACGTCCCGTGTAACCGACCCGTTCTCTATAGCTGTAAAATGTTTATCGCCCGGCGGTGAAGGAAGTGGCGGTGGCACGATCGAAACGTTGTAACAAACGGAACGGAATGCAAATTGCTTGAGCGATATAGGTACCTATACGTATACTATATTTATAGATATATGTTACTACATATACTTACTTTTCCTTCTCGCTGGCTTCCGGCAGTAAAAATTTGACGGCGACGAGACGCTTCCCGACGCTGGTCGTCGTTCCATACTCCGGGATGCCTTCAGCCTCCGCCACGTACACCTTGACAGAGCATAATTTGTTCACATTATACGAGAATCATTTCCCGTAGACCAGGTGGAATAAAGAAAAATTTTACTGGCCCCTTTGGACCCCGATGCGTTCATTACGGAATAAAAGTCGCGGAACCGGGATGCTCGTTAAAGTAATAAATTCGTCTAATGAGAATAGACGATCCCTGAATGCTATTACTCGTCGCTCGTGAATTTATCGCGCAACTTCGGGTCCGGTGTTTGCAACAGTCGCAGCGGGTAGTCGGCCCGGAAACCGAGAGACCGATTAACACTCACGCGGCTGCCTATAGGAGATTCATCTGCGAGGCCATTAACCGGTGTCGTCTTGTCGATTCAGACATTATACCGTCGTTACCTATGCTAGCAATCTTCGATAATTATTTCAGATTGGTTTTTATTAAATGTTATTAAGAAAAATAGATTTTAGCCCCTCATTCTTAAATTATTTAAAAATGGACTAATAAATATTTTGTTGTATTTTTGTGTATATTACATGACATTGTGTATATTAAATGATTCACATGAACACTTTAACATCTTGCAACCGTTTAATACCGGTTTGCATTCCTTGCCATTTGGCAGCTTTTTTACTTTTATCATCGTTAACTATAATAATTCCCATTATAATGTTATTATATACATAATACAACCTAATTTTTCTTGCGTATCGTTACGCAAGATCGTGTAACGCCGTACGATACCGCCGTTGTTATGAGCGCGATTTTCAAAGCCGGGGCCTCGATAATCGCGGTGTCACGGCTGTCACCGGGAATAGTCACGGCACCCCTACAGCCGCGCGAGGACGCGAAATATGGACGAAAGTATTTTCCTCGAAGAGTGGAGGAGGAGATCGCATAATATCACGAACGTAATTAGTGTGCTTCGTTGGATAATCGTCACGAGCGTGACCCCGTACCCCCCACTGGAATTAGAACGATAATTGGAATATCGACCGTCAATGGACAGGCGATGCTCGCGATTCGAGAATTTTTTTCATGTCCGGTCGGAACCGTCCAATCCTCTCGACTTAACTTACGAAAGTCGCCATTGGCTGGCAACTACTGACCGATCAGGGAAAAGAAATGGAAGAAAATTCGAACCAGTTCCCATTAGGTGAAAATTGAATTTCGTTCAGTGATTAGTTGCCTTGATTTAGTTGCTTTTCAGCAATCTTAGCTGGTTGCAAATACAACACCAATTGTTTGGGGGTGGGCTGAGGCTAATGGAATTAGCCTCGGAGGATTAGGCCCGTGTCTTTGTCCTGTGCGGTATAGACTATCCCTATGGTTTATTTAGTTAGTCCTCTGCGGGGGAACCTCGTGTATTGGATGAGTCATCCAGCATTAGGAGCTGGAACGGGTTTGTTGTTTTCGATGAAACGAGGAAATGTGTGACAGGGGGGCTGCAATATGTACGGCACTGTAGCGGCCAACGGCACGTACAAAGAAAGAACATTTGGCGTGCAAATGGTTGGCGAGTTTTATGATACCCGCGCCAGCAGAGCTATTTTTGAGAAAGCCGTTTTCTTTCCGCTTTCATTTGCAGTTTTTATACGATGCACATTTTTGCCTTTAGAAACTTTGCGGGTGTCATAAACCTCGAGTTTCCGAAGGGTTGAGAAGCGGGGCCAGATGACCGGCGATCGGCCACGTCACGCGTCTTGGGGACCCGGAGGAAATTCCGCTGCGTTGCCAAACCTCCGCCATGGGTCTCACTCCCGCCAAGTCACATCCCTGTTCCTGAGGCAGCGCGCTAAGGGCGCAAGGAATAGGTGGCGTGATTGGAATGTTAGGAAGCGCCTGATTGGTTAATGCCTACGCGCTACGTTAACCAATTAGGGTAACTTCTGGTTTTTGCGAGCTTCCCGAACAGAGCGTCGGGAAGCTTCACTTGTTTTTCCGAGAACGTCAAGAGTAGTTCGTGATCGAATCTTGTCCGTACAAACTACAAATAAATACTTATCTGAATTACTGTGTAGATTATTTAGACACAGCATAATAACCTTCAGCACTATGGGTGTAACTGAATCGTGTGATATTAGTCACCTAAGCTATGGAAACGAGATTCATTCTCATTATATAAATGACGTTGGAGATGAAATAATTAACAGTACAGTGCTTTATGTTCACTAATAATCGCGGAATTACAGTCGATCGACCTCTCACGATCCGAAGACGTTCACGAAGGTTAAAATTTGCAACGAAAGTATACGCGCAAAACGTACAGATCGCGAAATGTTTTGCATTTCTACAGACGTGAATATCACGGTTCAACGACCCCCCAAAATTATAAGATTTTTGTGTAAATCATGACACAAACTATAATTTACATTCCGGACCATGGCACGAACTAAATGTCGCGTGGAATCTTTTTAAAAATTTTTGCAACGAACGAAATTTATTCTTCGGTTTATCCACGGGCCACCTCTCGAGGCGCCGTAAATTCGACCGGAGATCACCGACAGTGACGGAAACATATTCAAGAAGAATCTTTTCAGAGGAAGGCATCGGGGATGCGATCGCTAGAATTCCAGACTCGCAGAGCGAGAAAGACTTATCGATACTAACGAGGCAACTTTGGTATCCCGAAAATTCTGCTTTTTTTTCTAAATCCCCACATATTTGTAGGGGAACTCGATAGAAGCATCGGGAAATTTTTCGTCTAATATTCGGTTGTTTGGGGTGAGACCACCATCTGAAGGTTAATGTGTCTTTTTCTATTTTCCTGTATATCTTGACAGCTATGTGTTTAAAAAACAATCGGAATTTTCGGGGTATAGAAATTCCGCGGTAAGATAACACCATCGGCGCAATCGGTCTATGCGGATTCGCGAACAACAGATTTCGGTTCCAATTCCGGTCGAATGAGTCCCGTTCGGTTCTTATCGAGGCTAGGGTAAGTGTGGGTATTACTGCGGATGCACCGATTACTACGGATATTTATAAAACAAATAATATTTAATGTTGGAAAGTACATAAGCTCTTGAAGATTAATGATAAAATTATTTTAAACTTTATTACAAATAATTATTAGTAAATATATACAGCAAAATTGTTATTAATTCTTTTATCGTGGTTTGAAATTCGATAAGACGAAACGTTGATCGATTTCCCAATATGTCGGTTCTGAACGTCTACTTAAAAAACGTTTATATTTTTGTTGTCAACAGTAATACATGTAATGTAGCGTTATTACTCCATAGAATGAGAGTTACTTTTTCAGAAAAATAATATATTACTTATCTACAGTTTATTTTTTATTTTTATTTCTCACCGCAGTATTAGGTTCAGTACTTTACAACACGTGTGTGTATTACTGCGAACAGGTGACTGCTTAACCTAACCTATTTTCGGTAGGTACCGAATCAGTGCAGCAGTGCGTGAGTTAGGTACACATAGGTACAGTCGCAATTCTACCTATAAAGATGGAAAGGAAATGTGGGAAAGAAAATTCAAAGAATAGGAAAACAAAAAGTAAAAGACTTTGTTATTTATAAGAGCATCTGGGTGCCGCTCTCCAAGAAATACGAAATGGTAAACAAGTTTCCGAAGTTTCTCGTATATATAATATACCAGAAAGCACACTCAGGGCGAAAAAATTAGGCACTTATGCTGATAAAAAATCTGGGCCTGCACCGGTTTTTACCGTGGCAGAAGAAAAGGAGCTAGTTACTTGGATTTTTCACTGTTGCGAGAAAGGATTTCCTGTAACAAAGGCTCAATTACTAGAAGGTGTTCGAGTGATTTGTGATAATTTGAAAAAAAAAGAATCCATTTATTAACAATACACCACGTAGAAACTGGTACAATGGATTTTTAAAACGACATCCAGAAATTGTTAAAAGAATTTCTGAGAATATTTCTTTAAATAGAGCACAAGTGTCAGAATACAGTTTGCGTAATTGGTTTCAAGAAGTTTCTAAATATTTTATTAAGGAAGGTATCCTAATGTCGATCGAACCAAACAGAGTTTTTAACTGTGATGATACAGGTATTAAAGAGTAAAATTTATTTAATGTTGGTTTATTGCTTTATAAAAAGACCATGTATTATTTATAGGAGTTTCTCTAAATCCAGTGTCTTCTTCAGTGCTTGCACCAAAAGGTTGCAAAAGTGTTTATAACATATTTAATAATAACGAAAAAGCAAACATAACTGTATTAGTCATAGCCAATGCTGCTGGTAATCTTGCTCCATCATTTACACTTTTCGCTGGAAAACCTTTACCAGATAATGCTTTAGAAATGGCACCTCCTGAATTTGCATTTGGGTTTTCTGAAAAGGGATGGATGATGTCACAGAATTTTTATGAATATATAGCAAACATTTTTGAGCCTTGGTTGACAGAAAATCAAATAAAACGTCCAGTAATTTTAATTATCGATGGTCATTATTCGCACCTGACATTACATTTAAGTAGATTCTGCTCAGAGCACAACATAGTACTTGTAGCCTTGCGTCTAAATGCTACATACATTATTATATAATAAATGAATACTTCTTGTCTTGTATATTATACCACATCCTTCTTACAAATAAAGTTAAATAATATTTTTATTCACAAGATATAGGTATTTATACTAATATTTTTCTTAACACAAGTCCACAGTAATATACGCGCAGTAATTGGTATTTCGTTAGTAACTGGCACACAGTAATGCATGCATGTCCGCAGTAATTCCCGCAATGAGATGTGGTTTCAATTTCTTTCATTTCTATTATATCCGTCTATTAGGTACCCCGTTCACATTTTTTTATGGAATTAAAATTATCCAACTTTCTTTAAAAATCAGAAAGAGGGACTTTCATTCATTTGAATGCTTTATCGAGCACTCTAAAGTTAACCTATCCTAAAAGTCCGCAGTAATACCCACATTTACCCTAGCGGTTGGGGAACCAAGTGGCGAAAACACCAGCTGAGTTCTCCAGCCGTCAGGAATTTTGTCGATGATCGCGTTTATGGGCGGAACGCATCCACCGGTCGCGGCTA